AGATATAGTACATTTATCAATTTTATTGACTTTTGTATTTGGAAGATGGAGTTGAGTATGATTATTATTTTTGGTAAATCAACTCTCATCGGTCATAATATAGTACTTTTTTTTGAAATATTAAACACACATCATTCATCTATAACTATATATAAAGAGGATACAAATTTTTGGAGTGAGCTATTTTTATTCCAAAATTGCTCTTTATCTTTTTTATAAATAACTTGAGTGGTTGGTTACCAATTGAATAACTAACTTCCATCTTTCATAAAAAAAACTAACATCTATAACTTCCATTAACCATCAATTGTGACACAAGTTAAGAAACATCTTCTATTTCTTTTACTAAATTTCATCTCTTTCTAAATCAACATACTATTTTTTAAAAAAAAATTCCATTCTATAATTTTTTTACTTATTCAATTTTTATCAATGATCTTTTAATTCTTGAAGGGAAAATGAAGCTTATTTCCAATCAAGACCACGCATTCACCCCGGACGAAGAAAATATTCCCATTACAACTGAAATTCAAAAACATATGAAAAACGATACTCCATGGCAGAAGTCATACGTGCTACCATTAATTTTAACACACCATAATATGACTATGATAAGTTAATATCTTTGATTTTGACAGCACAATGTATTATTTCATCATATATCTTGAAAACTCAAGATAGTCCCTTATATATTATGTTCATGTCTCATTATGCAATATTTTATTTATAATTATGTTTGTGTTTATATTAAAATTGAGCAGATGCATATAAATACATATTTGAAACTTTTGATCTGAGAATTTTTAGATACTTCTTGCAAAAATAAAATCAAGGTGCTGACTTAAAAATAATAAAATTGTCAATCATATGTAGCATTCATTCAATTGCAAAGCAGTTATTTGAATTATTTAAAAAATTAATAATTATATTTAGTTATGTTGTAATGGAGTATCCTATGCAAATTTATAAGTCTTTAATGAAGAATTTAAAAAAACAATACAATCATTCATAGTGACAGTGATATTTTCTTTTACATATTTTATAGTCTCTTTTATTCCATTTATATTTTGCTTATTTTTTTTTAATAATAAGAATATTTTTAAGTTGAAATATAATTGGTGTTTATATTTTTCAAACCGTGTTATTCATAACAAAATTTGCTTTTGGTAAAAATCATAAAGCTTGAATAAGATGAATTTGAGAGTATTTCTGACTTTCCATTTTCTAAACATCATCTAACTTGAATTAATATATGTCCAATTTTGTATCACAATAATTTTTCTTGCAATTACAAATATTACATTCTTTTTTCAAATCTATATTAGTTTTTTTATTCTTGACAATAAAGGTTAACACATCTATGTTAGCTTTTTTATTCTTGACAAACTCTTTTATTTGTTACTGAATCAAACTCTTTTTATTCTTTTTATTTGCTACTGAATCAAACTCTTTTATTTGTTTAGTTTTTATTTTCTGACGGTAAATTTTAAATATATAATTTTTAATGAGTTTGGTGAAAGTATATGCATGCTTATATTTTAAACATTTTACTTCAGCTTTGTATTTGATGATGATATAGGTGTATTTTAGGAACACTAGGGTTTTGAATGTGTTGCCTTTTGTCCAGAACTGCGCACTCTCGATTTAAGATACCTATGGATATACATTCGAGTTCCATTTGTGGTATTCAAAAGCAAAACGATCTTGAAAATCTCATTAGGGTTTTTGTTGCAATAATTTGGGACTAAGCTCCAATGATAAACAAAAATTGTTTGGAAGTCTTAGATCGATCATTACAAGACATTTGTAGCAACAATGCTCCATTTGGAGGAAAAGTTATGATCATGGGGGGAGACTTTCGTCAAGTTCTTCCTGTTGTAAGAAAAGGTACTAAGGTACAAATGATTTATGCGTGCATTGCTCAGACTCATTTATGGGCTCATACCAAAATTTTGCGATTGCGTCAAAATATGTGATCATTGCATGATCAAGAGTTTGCAGAATTTCTTATGCACATTGGTGATGGTGTTGAACCTACCAAACCAGATGACATGGTGAGGTTACCTTCACAGATTGCAGTCCCATGGGAAGGTGACCATTCCATACAAGTGCTTATACAACATATTTTTCCTGATTTAGAATTGCACGGTTATTGTAACGCCCCGATTCTGATTTCCCATTTTTGTTGAGTCTTTTATTTTATTTGGGTGATTATTATTTTATTTGTGGAATTGGTGTGTTAATATGTTATATTTGCATATTGTGTTATTTTATCGTTTTTGAGAGTTTTCGGGGAAATTAGGTTGGAGGGTATTTTAGATATTTCTTAATTAATGAATTATTAGATATTTTGTGAGAAAATGAATTATTAGATATTTTGTGAGAAAATGAATTATTAAATATTTTGAGAGAAAATGAATTATTAGATATTTTGTGAGAAAATGAATTATTAGATATTTTGAGAGAAAAAGTAATAGAAAAGAAATAGAATAGAAAGATATAAGAGAGAAAAAGGAGAGAAAAGAGAAATAGAAAGAAAGAGAAGAGAAAGAAAGAAGAAAAGAGAGAAAGTTTGGAAAATCATCAAGAACATTTCTAGGAATCGATTTGATCAGGTAAGGGTGTGAAATATTGTTATCTTATCATTGTGTATGATTATGTATAGTTTTGTTTGGATTGTTTTGGTTGTTTTTCCACATATTTCTATTTTAGGTCAAATTGGTAAAATCGATAGAAACTGATGTTTTCACGGTTAGAATTCGAAATAAATTGCGTAGTTTAGACGAGGAATGTTAAGCCGTGACTATTGAAACTAGTTTGATTGAATTCGGTTGATTTCGTAACTTTTGACATTTTTGGATAATTGAGGGTTTGAGATTTGAGTGGAAATCGGATGTCGTAGAAATCGTGTTTAATGGTTCTAATTCACTGCTATATGTTAGGTGAGTATGAGTATATGTTTGTTTTGAAGAAAAGAATTGAATCGGTCGGATTTTCGGGCAAAAATGCAAAATCCCGTAGCAATTTTTAGGCAAAATTCTGGTTTTTCGGAAAACTTCAAAAATTCATATCTTTTGATCCGTAAGTCGGTTTTAGTCCCTGTTCGAAGTGTTGGAAAGGTAAAGAGATGCTCTTTCTAGGAAAAATGGTTTTGATGTCAGTGTATGATCCAATTATAGCCGAAAATTCAAAGCGTGTCATTTTGTCAACTTTTACCGTCGTGAACGGGTGCGTTTGATGTGTTTTCATACTGTATGCTTTCGATATATAACGTGTAGCTTGTGTGCTGTTATATGATATGCTGTGGGTAGCAGTAGACGTGAATCCTAGATTGTGGAATATATTGTGAATGTATATAGATTATATGTGATAGAATGAGATGAATGCATGAATATATTGTGAATATGTATGCATTTCAAAAGTGTCTTGAGTCATTTTGTATGTGAAGTATAATGATGTACATTCCTGTGTTGTGTGATTCTAATGAGAATCCGTTGTAACGTCGTGTGCCTATGTGAGGTGTGAGCGACGATTACAAACGATTGTGTGCCTAGGTGAGGTGTGAGCAATCGGATTGTGTGCCTATGTGAGGTGTGAGCAATCCACAAACATTGTGTGCCTATGTGAGCTGAGCAATGGGTGAACATCGGAGGCCCGACGGGAAGTTACATTGGAAACGAGCGATGGTTCCAATAAGTTCCTGAGTGAACTTGAGATGATTGAGTCGGTACCGCATTGCATTTGCATAGAGTCGTAAGTCGGTCTCTATGATTTGCATTTATCATTTTTATAATTGTGCATTGGTGAATAAACATAAATGTGTATGTTTATGTGGAATGATAGGAATTGTGAAAGTATGCATGATGAATATGCTTGGTTTTATATGATAGTAATTGTGATGTATATGAGTGAGTTGTGATTAATTGTGGTGAGAATGTAGAATATGTGTATTTTTATGCTAAGATATATAATTATATGCATTGTTATTATGATAATATTTCTCACCCTTCTGCTATTTTATGATGCTCTATGAGGCATTGCAGAGTAGGTATGCTGGTGGTTAGGGGTGTTCATGGGTGCGGGTCGACCTGCAAACCCGCCTACCCAAACCGAACCAACCCACTAATTACCTGGACCCATTCATTTACGGGTATACCCGACCCAACCCGTAACAACCCGTATAGATTTGGTTCGGGTATTGGGTTTTAGTTTCTAAACCCATGAACCCGTTGACCCAACCCGCTGACGTGGCATAATTAATTATTATTATTATTATTATTATTATATTATTTATAAATTTTAAAGTTGCTATAACTTTGTAAATTGTAACGTACACAAAGATCTTTTGCACTTTCCTTCCAGTTTCCAATCACACATTAAATTATTATTATTATTATAATTAAACATTATTATTGATATTAATCATGCTTGCTTGACTTATGCACTTCTAGTTTACACTTTACTGCCTTTTTATTTTTTTAATGAATCTTTATTAACTAATAATAATTAAGTATATATTAGAAACTTACTAAACTAAAGACAATACCACTTAACCTAACCCTATTTTTTTACTACGGCAAATCTCAAACGTCACCACTCCTCTTTCTCTCACGATTTTTTTTTTTCATTTTACTCTCTCACATTCCAATTCCATCTTGCTTTCGAAAATCCACAGTCTATACTTTGACTCTCTCATAGTTTCGTCTCCATATTGAATAAGGTTTTATACTTTTTATAGTTCTACAATATATTTATTTCAATGCAATATATTGTTTTTACAGTATGTACTTCAATAGTTTTATATCAATGCAAAATATGATGATAGGTTCAATGTAATGTACTATTTTGTTTCATATGATGCAAAGTACTATTTTGTTTCATATGATGAAAATATATTTTGATGCAAAGTCCTGTTCTGTTTCATATTATTAATTTAAATATATTTTGTTTAATGTTGTTTTAATAATAATTTATATTAAAAATTATTTTTTTTATAGAAAATGGAAGTGGAACAATCACAAATTGTCAGTGAAGATGTTGCTCATCCACTTGAACAAGAGCAAGAAGTTCAACAAATACAAGGAGAAGGGTTGTCATCATTGCCACCAAGTGCACTAATAGAGGTAAGCAAAAGAAAACCCTCTAGAAAACCTTCTACAGTTTGGAAAGATTTTAAAAGGGTTAATGATAAGGCTATATGTAAGTATTGTGGGAAACAATATGCTGCAAATAGTGGTAGTCATGGCACTACTAACATGCATAAACATTTGAAAGTGTGCCTGAAAAATCCAAATAGGGTAGTTGATAAGAAACAAAAAACTATAGCTATTGGAAAAGAAAGTGAGGATGATCCTAATAGTGTTAGCTTGAAACTTGTTGATTTTAATCAAGAGAGGATTAGATTAACACTTGCAAAGATGATAATCATTGATGAGCTCCCTTTTAAATATGTTGAAAATGAAGGATTTAATATGTTCATGAAAGAGGCTCAACCAAGATTCAAAATTCCATCTCGTGTCACTGTTGCCAGAGATTGTTTATGCTTGTACTTCGATGAGAAAGAAAAATTGAAATCTATGTTGTCTGCTAATAAACAAATGGTGTCTCTTACCACTGATACTTGGACATCGATTCAGAATATGAATTATATGTGTGTTACAGCTCATTATATTGATGACGAGTGGAATTTAAAGAAGAGTATATTAAGCTTTGGTATAATTGCTGACCATAAAGGTGAAACTATAGGGATAACATTAGAGAATTGCATGAAGGAATGGGGTATCAAGTCTATATGTTGTGTGACTGTTGATAATGCAAGTGCTAACAATTTGGCAATTGATTATTTAAATCGAGGCGTGAGTTTTTGGAATGGTTGTACTTTGTTTAATGGGGAGTACTTGCATATGAGATGTATTGCTCACATATTAAACTTGATTATCAAAGAAGGAATAAAGGATATTGATGAATCTGTTAAAAGAATTAGGGCTGCATGCAAGTTTGTCAAGGCTTCTCCTAGTAGGTTGGCTACTTTCAAGAAGTGTGCAGAAGCTGTTGGTGTATGTTCTAAAGCATTGGTAACACTAGATGTAGAAACCAGATGGAACTCTACTTATTTAATGTTGAACATCGCTGAAAAGTATGAACATGCATTTTACCGCTTAGAACATGCTGATGTTGCATTTTTAACTAATCTCCGTATTGAGTCGAAAGGATGTCCTAATCGAGCTGATTGGTGTTGCACCCCAAAATTTGACCAACATTTATTTATCCATCAAGTGTTTGAAAGTTGATATCTTCATCAGAAAGTTCAAGAGATCCTCAGAGAAACTGTTTGAGACTAGAGTTGTGTGCTTCATAGCTTGAGAGTTATGGGTGCTCCTCAGATGATTCTGAGACTTTGAGGATGAACTTGATGCTTTGAGAAAGCCTATGATATGTCTTGAGAGCCATCATGGAGCCCAAAGAAGTCATTGTGCAAGAATTCAGAAGATTCAACCATGAATGGTAGAACTAGGGTTTTGACTGGGTCGACCTTGGGATAACTGAAGATTTGGGGAAGGTTGAGACCTAATCCAAGGGTCATGAGATCATGGAATAATGTATGGATATGTTATAAAGATGATTCCTAGACCAACTCATCATGATTGAGGAGTTTGAGAAGTTTTGAGTTAGGGTTTCTGAGGATTGTCAGTGAAAAAACCCTAGTTTGATCCCTATCTTCCAAGCAGTTTTAGCTCAAGATGTGATTGATATCTCATCTTCCCCACAACATGAAGGTTGTAGAACTTGTCCTTAGCTTTAATTTTAGTGGTGGAAGTCCTTGATAGGAGTTGCAGAGCTCAAGTTATGGTTTTGACAAATTACAGGTCAGCTGAGGTGTGTGAATCTGGGTCCTTGAAAGTCACCCAACTTGCAGACAACTTTTTCCCTAGTAGGATGATTCCTATGATTTCTTGGTAAATATGAATGTTGAAGAGCATCTTCTTAGCTTTCTAGAGAGTACTATAAGTCCTTAATAGGATTTGTAGAACTCAACTTATGGTTTGAACAAGACAGGGGTATTTTGGTCATTTTGCAGTTATAGGTCATTTTAAGCAAAGGCCATATCTCCTATTTCCAAGCCTCAAATGAAAAAACTCAAAACATCAAAGTTGTTCAAAATGGAATTTTAAGCCTAGAAAGGAGGTCATGAGTTGTTGGAAAAGCTCATAGCATGGAATGACAAAGTTTGGTAAATTTGAACTAAAAAGGGCTTATAAGTTAAAAAGTTGAAATGGAATTTTGGTTTGGGAGATCTATGAATCCAAAATAGGTCATCCAATATACCATTTTGAATGCAAATAACATTCTAAAAACTTTGGTTTAAACAGAATTTTGATTTTAGGCTCAAAAATGAAGGTTGCTTTGAAAAATTGTAACTTGTATCTTAAGGCATCCTTGGAAGGTTCTACACAAGGCAAGTTTGGCCTGATTTTTGCACATATGATCTCAATATCTCTTGTAATGAGATTTTGACACAAGTTTACAAGGCCTAACTCATGAGATATGGTATGTTCAACTTGTCACCAAAGGAGAAAATCCAAGCTTTTCTAGTGGATTCTAGATGATTCTAGAAGCTTCCATGGATTGCTATAAAAGGGGTGAATCACAATAAGGAAAAGGTTGGTGAAAGTTGTTGTGTTCATTGGAGAGAGATAGAGAGAAAGTGCCATTGCCAGATTTCTTCAAGATCAAGCAAGATCCAATTCCTTCTTCTACAAGCTTCATCCACCTCAACTCTTGCAAACAGAAAGGTGTTCATCATTGGAGGAAGATTTGGAGAGGATTTCAAGCCTTGAATCAAGCCCTAGCACCACTCACCATTGAAGCTTGACAGGTTGGTAACTTGATCCATAAGTCCTTTATTAGGTGCATTCTGTTAGAATCCTAGGGGTAAGATCAACATGCTTGGTTAGAGGAAGGTTTTCTGAGAGTTAGAGGAAGATCCATGAGGTTCCATGGCAGGTCCCATATTCTTTGATTTCCAAAAGCAAGATGTTCAGTGAGTGTTAGCACGCATGATATAGCATAGTCTGGTTAGGATAAAGTTTAGAACAAGATTACATCAATGGATTTGAGTTCAATCAAGATTGATACCAGTGAATTAAGTTGAAACCCTAATGTTGGAGCTTTCTGTTAGGATGATTTAAGGAGTTTCAGAGAGAGCTACTTGTATGGTTGTGTTCGTGGTAATCAGTAGTACAATTTTGCTTTTGGAATTTCTGGATTTCATCAAGTCATCATTGAGAACGATTGAGTTGAAGGATCGTGCATGGATTCTGGTTCAGACGAAACCCTAGGATATGTTTGGGGACGATGAACTCCCACCGTTGGATTAGCCTGGATCTTTGACTTCTTAATCTCATCGCGTGGCCAGAATTTAATTTCAAAACGGAGGGAAGACTTAAGCCAAAACGACGCGTTTGGATAAGTGAGGAGTTTTGGGCTCAGCAACCTTGTGCTATCCACACCACACTCAGAGGCCCAACCCAGATTTTCACTATAAAATATTGCTATTCTCACCGTGTCCATATTTATTTTCTGATTGATTTTTCTTTTAATTTTCTGAATGCGTGGGCTTGATATTCACACCCCCAGTATCTTGGCCCATCATGAAAAACAACTGGGCGCAGTTACTCATGACACCCCCCATCCTTTTTTCTTTTATTTTCATGTTTTAATTTCTTTTATATTTCTTGCATTTTAATAAATCCATATAAAATCCAAAAATTAGTATTTTTCACTTCTTGTTTTTTTTCACATATCCATAATCATGTCTAGAAAAATGTAAATAAATAAAATTCCATTTTATTTTCCTTTTAATATTTTTAGCATATTATTCTTGTAAATAGTATTTTTAATTGATTTTAGTTGATACCCAATTTTGTATAATTTCTTTTAGGACTTTCCCTTAGGATTTTTGAGCCATTCTTTTTGGCATAGTTAGGTATTGAATCATAGTTCATATAGGATTTAATTTGCAATTTGTAGATTAAAATTTGGCATAGTTTGCTTGTTTGGCATTTAGGTGCCCAAATTAGGGTTTTAGGTTGTATAAGTAGATCTTAACAATTTTGTTTTGGGGTTTATAGGCCATATTAGTGTATGGGGGATATATGGGTTAAGGGTAAGTATGTATAGAATCCCCTAGAATTTTTCTAGAATATTATATGGTGTTTTAGTATTTTTAATTGATTTTTGAATGAATGGATAGTATGTGTGTTGCTTAAAGGCATAGTTTGTATTGTTGTGCTTGTTTTTCTTCTCCTTTGAGTGTGTGAGCTTTGAAGATTGAGTTGAAGACCTTGTGGATCATCATTGAAGCTTTGAAGACCTTGCAGAGGAGTTTGGTTAGCTTTTGTTGTTTTGTTTATAGGTTTATAAGTACATAGGTAGAGCCTTAGATAGAATGCTTCTATTCAATAAACAAGGAGTGTCTTATTCACCTCCTTCCTTCTCTATGACATAAAGTCCCTTAAGGGTATTCACCTCTCTCCTTTGGAGAGATTAGTGACCTTGCCCTCTGAGGTAGAACTTTGAGAGAACCTTTCCCTTTGATGTTAAGTCCTCAATGGCATCCTTTGGAAGTCAGTGAGCACTGTAACATCCTCACCTCATCCTGTTGACTGAATCTTGTTTGCTGAAGCATTTGGGTTGTTAAAGATAGCAATGAAAAGTATTGAAGACTTGATTGAAGATCTAAAAGCCATTGAAGATAGAAGCTGAAGCTTTGAAGAGGATGATTCCTTGAAGATTGTTGAAGTCTGAAGACTTTGTGAAGATAAAGTTGATGCCTGAATATCCCTGAAGATAGTGAAGCCTGAAGGTGGAGCTGATCAAAGAAGCTGAAGCTTAAGGGAGAAGATGAGTTGATACTCATGTTGTAGGGTTGATACCTGGAAAGCAAGTGATTTCTGAAGTCTGAAGACTGAGTTGCTGCTGGAGGAGCTGAAGCTTTCTTTTGTTTTCTTTTCTGTATTGTTTGTTTTGCTTGATTTGTCTGTTGCATTAGACCAAGTCCATCTAGAATAAGTTCAGTCTAAGAGCATGAGTGCATTAGAGGTTGAGTTGCTCCCTCTGCTTGTATTTTTATTGCGTGGCTTTGCTTGCGGGTATTCGGTAGAGCCCAACTCCCTTGCCCCTGTGTTTATTTTGCTTGATAGCATGTCTTTCTTTTATCTGTATGATCGCAATTTACTGTTTATTGCTTGATAGCATGTTGTTCATTTTTCAGTATGATTACTGTTATTTCATGACTGGCTTGAGGTTGAGATGAGCTTGTGGAGGCTGAAGCCCCACACACATTTCCTCCCTCACTTGCATTGCATGCATCTTACTGTTAAGCTGATGCTTTGTCTATTTTGGTGTATCATTAACATGATCCCTTAGGACTCTCATTTCCTTTGATAAGGATTTGATGATAGAATTTTAGGTTGAAACCTATGCATGACAACTTCTAGGAGTTCCCTGTTCAAACCTCAACCATAGGATGAATCTATGGCATGACAACAGTAGGACTTGATAGTCTCCCTCCTAGTTGGGCTTGTTCTCTTCTCATCTCAAACAGTTTAAGATACAGTAATCATGAATGATTTCTTTCGTACGTTACGAGCCTTAAGCTATCTGAGAAAGGATTGTGGGAGAGTTTCTTTTCCACAGTCTGGGTGTTTAGTATGGTACCCTTTGGGTGACATGCGACGCATTCACTCTCAGATCATAGTCTCTAGTGCGGTTGAAATCCCAAACACAATAAAAAACACTTCTTTTAGGAGATAACCCGTAGTTTCCCGAACTACGTGAGCTCTGATCTCTCATGCCTGTTGAGAGTACGTAGGCACAAGATGGCGAAGTCTTGGCGAGCAACCTTCCCCACCTTAACCCTTCGTAGGCCGAACTACGTTGACTCTGATTTCTCATTCTCTGATGAGAATACGTAGGCATAAAGTGCGACGCTTTGCCGAGTCATTTTTCTTTTCTTTTTCAGCCAGCATTGATAGGTAGATAGATTATAACCAACCCGTCCAAGTAAACAAACAAGCGAGGATCCCGTCGAGTACGACGGACGTGAGGGGTGCTAATACCTTCCCCTTGCGTAACCGACTCCCGAACCCAGACAATGGTTGCGATGACCTTGTCTTACCCTTATTCGTCAGGTTTTTCCGATCGTTTCCTTTCCCGCTCTGAGGGATAAATAACGAAAGGTGGCGACTCTTCTGTCATGCCGGCACCTTATTTTCGCGCAAGCGACAGC